ACATATACTGAAGTGGCAAAGAAGCATCTCTTTGACTGTGATTTTTACCAAATTTTCTTTACTTCAGAAAATCTGCACTTAAAATTACGTGTTTTGACATTCATTGACTTCTTTATTCAGACTTCCACTGAGCTTCATTCAGTTGATATGATTCGTTTCCTTGAGTTCAGGCTTTTTTTACAGAGCAGAATCTATCATTTTTTTGTAAACAACCTGCAAGCAGGATACTCGATAACCTTTGCAAATGTTTGAAAAATGTAATGTGAGAAAAATGTTTCTCTAATCCCTGCACCTTTGTTTTTCTTCCTTTTTTTTTCTTTCTTTATTTATTTCTTCCTTCCTTTATTTCTTTCATTTGTTTTTTTCTTTATTTCTTTCTTTCTACCTTTTTTCTTCTTAACTCTCTCTTTGGGAGACAACTTACCATCAGCAGGTAAACTGCACAAGTCTGGGCTCAATTTGCATAACTTGTCATAACTTTCGCCCGTAATAACCTCTCCATCTGAGACAACTTTGTATTGTATCGACGCTTCAAGAACATCTACCGCTATTAGAATTAAGCAAGTACTATTAGATCAAGGCACAAAAGAACCTCGTGTGATGAAGGAGTAGTAGAACATGGGTTATATCCGATGTGCATCAAGGGAGGTTGGAGGGGGACGATTTCAGTCGAACCCGCCAAGTTGAGACAACAATCGTTAAAACGTTTAAAAAATACAGTAAATAAAAAATTATTTGCAACTACAGTTAACGACTTTAAGCATTGAAAGATATATAATTGACAATCATTTTAGCGTACCCTGGCGATATTTAAACTGATACAAAATATAACGGCGATATTTCTAAGATGTTGACGTAAATATAGTGAAGCATTAAATCACACTGATTTGAAATCTCATATCCCGAGGTCTTCAGTTAGGAAATTTCGTAGAACCCCTTACTGGCAATCATACTCAGCACTCGCTACGGTATCGATAGGGATTAAATGTTGGCTCGGTCGTTCAAAGAAGAAAGATGTTAACTGATTATATCGCGTGCATTGCCTGTTGATCTGATTCCCCAAAATGGAATCAAGCCTTGAAGCGTTGCACTCTGCTGTCCGAAGCTCATTGGAAAACCTGGCTGGTGAATTGAAGCCCTATACTAGGTTCAAACGAGACATGAGTACGCGTCTAGTATGCTGCTTGGATTTGCAATTTCAGAAGCTGTGAAATCAAATCACCCACGTAAGGATAATTATACTATTCGCAATCTTTAATCATAACCGCCTGGTCTTTTTAAAGTCATTCACCTATCATCAAAAAGATTGTAATCATGTTAATTGGATTTTCTTCACTTCAAACTAATCTTTTCATATTTTTAAATGTTATAGTCCTCTACGAATTTACAGCAGCATATGCCCGTCTCTCCCACCACCCCTCATTCCAAAAATTTCGTAACTCCCCCCCTGGTTTTGTACAATTACAGTTTTGAAACTGAAAAAAGAAAAAATAACAAAAAATTATAACACCTCCATATTAATTTCAACTTACCAGGTGTAAATGTTAAGCTAACATTGAAAAGGTTTCCAATAGGTGTGAAAGGCCATGGAGAAGCTTTTATCGTTGGAGGCTTATCATACTTTCCTGAAAAGATTGCAACAATGGAGCATAACTGTGGGCTACAGAAAAACGAAATTAGTTTCCAGTGAAGCCTTTCACTATTAAATGGTTGATGCTACTCTAATTTCCCCATTAATCAGTCCCTGTATTTTAACTTACTTCCAGGCTCAACCGAAAGCTTAGACACAAAGCAAGCCATCTCTGGTAACATTCTTTAATTTTCCTGAACAGTTTTTAGGCTAAATTTAAACAGTTCGGGCCATAGACAGTTTGGTCTAGACCATGGTGTCACAAAACATGGGGCCGTGGTCCAGCTTTTTAAACACTTTGGCTAGCCCCACATTTTAGTCTCGCACTTTTGTCCCTGATATTTTTGGCCCTTGGGACCCGGTTCCATTGATATAGTGAAAAAAGAACATTGTGTCACTAGCAGTTTGAATGGCGCCGGTTGGAATGTGTGCGTGTGGGAGAAATCACAATTTAAAGTCCAACAGCGATAAGAACAGTCTGTCGACTTCATGACAAGGACTGTCAAGTAAGACAAAAACTTA